GGGCTGGCTGGCATGTGGTGCTGGGGGATTGAACCGCAGTCCCTGTGCTCTGCCAAGCTTTTTCTAAGTAGGTGCTTTAGACCACTGAGCCATCTCACCAGCCCGACCCACTGATTTTTAAGAAGTGAAATATGTTGAGTAAAATTTTTACTGGAGGTTAATGCAGTGGTGCAAGCTTATAATCTCAGCTACTTGGTAGGCAGAGGGAAGAGGTTTGCAAGTTCAATACCGCCTGGGCAATGTAGCAAGACGTTGTCTCCAAATTTAAATAAACAAATAATTTTTTAATGTATTTGGTACAGGGTCTCACTACACAGTTTGGACTCATAGTGGTCCTCCTGTTTTTAGCTTCCCCAGCACTGGGATTACAGGCATGCACCACCATACCTGGTCTTGGTGGCTGGCTTAGCATGCCTGGGGGCAGGGCTGGCACAGCATGTGGTGTCAGGGATTGAACCCTGGTCCCTGTGCTTGCTTAAGCAGGCACTTAGTTCACTGAGCTATCTCACTGACCTTAATAAATAAATTTCTAAAAAAAAAAAAAAGCCCAGGTGTGGTGAGCCAGACATGGTAGCGCATGCCTGTCATACCAGAACTAGGGAAGTTAAGTAAGGCAGGAGGATTGCCAAGAGTTTGAGGACAACCTGGGCCTTATAGTGAATTCAAGGCCAGCCTGCATTACCCAAAACAGCAACAGCAACAACAAACAAAAACAAAGAAAGAGCTGGTGCTGCAAATCAGTGCTCCCTGGGTTGATTCAGTGCTCATTATTGGATGAGGCAGGAGGAAGCAAAAATAAAAAGGAAATGTGTGTGTGTGTTTTCACACTTTGGGGTCAGGTGGGAAGTTTACACTTTGAAGTTTGCTTTCACAAATCAAAGTGTCATTTTTTAAAAAGGAATATTTGCTCTGCTCAGCAGCCAGAGTTCAAAGCTCTGGTGGGAAATGGGAAATGCTAGCCTTTCACTGTGAATGAAAGCTCCAGCAAGGAGGATCTAGAATCAAGTAAATAAGCAACCCATTTCACTAGCAGTAGTTTCCCTTTTAAAATTCAGTGCCAGCTCAGTTGTATAAGCACTTGCCTGGCGAGTGGAAGGCCCTGAATTTGATCCCTGGTCTCCCCCCAACCAAAAAAAAAAAAAAGCACTACTAAAATTCAGTGCCTCCCCACTTCTAGTCCAGACTGATTTGAGTTGAAAAAGCACATATTGGGCAAAGGTGGCTGAGGTCCTGAGTAAGGAGGACACCCAGGAGACTGTCCTCACAGCACCAAGCTTTGTCACCAGCCTCTGTGTTATGAAGCTGTCTATTTGGCACATATGTCCTATCCCATGGGCCAGCTCAAACAGAGGGGTTTTACCTAGAGAATTCCAGTTGTGTTTTATTTCAGGACATAAAATCTTATCTAAGATGCTTTAACACAGCTCATAATATTGCCCTTCCTCCCTCTGCATAAACTGCACGTTCTTTCCATTGTTAGCGCTATTCATGGCTCAGGCAGCAGCTCCTCAAGGCTGTGCTGGAATTATAGGCCATTTTGCTTGTGTGATAGCTTGGAAAGCTTGGCACCATTGATTTGCATCAGTGCCTCTGGAATAGCCTTTGCCTTCTTCTTAAAGATACTATCTAAACTGTGAAATTCATTAAATGGCCCCAGAAATGGATCAGGTTATTTAACACAACATCCCTAATGGCGCAATATCTCAGCTGTCCCCACTGATAGCGAACATTGTCTTGGATAGTGTTATCAGCCCAGGACACCCGCTATGAATATTGATCCCGAGCTTGTTACAGCAATCACTTGCCATCAGGACAGGTCAGGGTTGGAACCCACCTAGCATCAAAGCAATTTAAAGACGGCACTCAGGCTGAATTTTAATGCCCATGCTGAAAGAAAAAAAAAATCAACTTGAGACACAGAGGCAACGTGGCTTCCTAGGTGTGTTTATATGGATTATGTAGGCATACCTTGGATGTAAACATATGTGTAAAAGAGAGAATCAAATGTGTCTCCAGAGTATTCTGAACGGCTGGCCTCACTGCTTCCTGGACCATGCAAAGCAGGTGGCCAAAAGGATTTCTTAGTACTCTAGGTCTCCACTGTCCCCTAATCTGAAGAATGCATCCTTTTCTTCAGATGGGGGTTTCTAAATTTGGTGAATAAGAAAGAGCATTTCTGGTTGTCTAACATTTTCTAGCAACACAGGGGTGTTTTCTTTTGTGTGTGTGTGTATGTGTGTGATCTATTGTCAGAAGCCAAGTTTTACTGAGAGTTTATATAGCCTTTCATTGGACTGAGCACACATGAGAAATGCTAGAAAAATGAAGGCAAGAAAAAATTAAAAATCAATATAAGGACATTCACAGGCTTAAAAAATACAGCTTCTCTGTGTTCTTGATTTTCAGTTCAATTTGTTGCTTTTCCTTTTTTGGCTCAGTTTGTATATTTAAAGTCTGTGAACCTCAAAGCAAGGGTGATTCATACCAAAAGAAAATGATACATAATTTAAATATACCCTGTTGAGACAGTTTATAAACCAAGATACAGTATCTCAGTATAGGCTGTTCTTCATTGTCTGAGGGGCTTTTCATGCCCCCCTGATTTGGGGGTATGGGGGAATCTCTGGAAAGCCAGCCTCACCAACTCTATGAAATGGTCTCAATGTTTCTTCTAGACAAAGGGCCCTAGGATAGTTTTTTCATTTTCTTTCTTTCTTTCTTTCTTTCTTTCTTTCTTTCTTTCTTTTTTTTTGGCGGAATTGGGGATTGAACTCAGGCCCTTGCACTTGCCAGGCAAGCACTTATTCTACTGAGCTATCTCCCCGGGCCCCAGTATTTTCATTTTTAAATGACCCTACAAAGATCTATTCCTGGCTACTCTCAAGAATATAAGTAAAAAAATAAAACAAAACACAAACACAGGAGAAAAAAGGCAGACGTTGGGGCCAGTAGAAGGATGGGAAAGAAAAATTTTCAAAAAACTTTAAGTGAGAACTATGTGAGAAAGAGTTGTCCAAACAGAAAATGAACTCCCCTATCTATAGTCAAGAAAGTTCTGTGGTTTGCAGTCTCCATTTCTGGGTGCTGCCCTTTGGTCCTATGACTATTTTCTCCAGGTTTCACAGGGTGTGCGTTCCCTTTGGCAGGAGGTGGTCTGGTAGGCTTGAGCAGGGCACTTCCTTTCCTGAGCTTTAAAAGCACAATCCATCTTCACTTCAGGTTTGGAGCTAGCTTGAATTTCGGCAGGGCTTTAAAGTCCGCAGGGAATTTGGTGGCCACCTCTGGGAGGGGCCAAAAGGTTTGAATAAGAAAAGCTACAAGGAGCTGTCCTCTAAGGCTACTTCTTCAATAACAGATGGGATTAGCAGTTCTCACCACTTTAATGAGAAGGGTTCTCCTCCTCTTCCTACTTCTTACCTGCTCAGACAATATTAATTGCCAAGTCATTGTTTGGAAACCACATGGGGCAGGGAAGAAAGGCGCAGCCCAGTTAGCTGTGGGCTGGGTGGAGAGGCTAGGGGAAGCCTCAGAATTTGCTGCTGAAATAAACGCACAGTGCTCACAGAGTCCGAGAGACAATAGAAGGAATGTTTATGTGGGAGTGGCTGGTGAAAGCCTCTCCACTTGCAGGTGCTTGGTGCTGTCCCTAGGAACTGGGGAGCAGGTGGGAGCTGTTGCAACTGTCACTCTTCTCTGATCTTACACAAAAACTAGAAGGGTATCTTTGAACTTTTTCCTTCATGGGGCTGGGAGAGGATGGGGGGAGGTGGGCAGAGAAGCAGTCTATTTCTGGATTCCCAATTGCTAATGCAGATGTCCAAATTTCTGACTGTGAAGGCTGATCAGCTTGATGGCTCTGTCTAGGGTCTTAGCAAACCAGGACAGCCACCCTCAGCCATCTCTCCTGGGCAAGAGCCCACAGCGTCTCTTGGGTGCAGTCACCTCTCCAAAATGCTTCCTACTCTTTAGCCCTGCTGGACTCCAGGGTAGAAGGGAAAGACTGATTCGGTGAAGGACTTTCCTCTCTTATTGCACGATGGAAGGATATACTAAAGAAAAGAAAGAAAAAGAAAGAAAGAAAAAAAATTGGTCAGGCCCAGATTACCAGCAACTAACAGTGACCCTGGGCAGATCATCTTTACATCTTTAAAACCATGATAGGGGTCTGGGCCAGGCTAGGTCCTCCTCTCCATGATGTTCAGGACTCAAAAGATGGGGAAAACCCAAAGGCTTTGTAAACTATAAACTGTGAGAACAGGAGCGCTTTGAAATCTGAGGTAAATGGGTCTGCAGCTATTGCTGTTCTTCACCGGTCGGGCAGCAGATGTGCTGAGCATTGCTTTGAAACGATCTGTGCTGGCTTCAACAGCATTCCAAATCCAGGGCAGGTGGCCCAGGCGTAAACTCCAAGGGGGGGGGGGGAGGTGATGAGTGGGGACCCGCAGGACGGAAGACTTCCAAGCTTGCTTCCCTAGATTCCGAGGATTGGGCAGAAGCTGGTGGAGCTGGCTACGCTGTCTCCGCGGTGCCGGCGCGCGCACTAGAGCGTGGAGGCTCCCCTACCCCAGGCCAGCGGCCCCGCCAGATAATTCTGAGGACGTGGCCAGCGCGCCCTGCACGTGGCGGGGGCCTGGGCCCTGCAAGTGCCAATCGGCATGCAGCCCCCTGCGGCTCTCTGCACGCCCCGCCTCTCAACCCCCTCCTCACCTCCACTTGGCAGCGCGGACCGGTTCGCCCATAGAGACCTGCGGCCAAGTCACAGCTGAAGACTGGCCCGAGTGCCGCCATCCCGGAACGCTTGCCACCGGCCTCGGGGGCGCGGACGGCGGGCATGTTGGCATGGCAGGATGGCGGGGCCAAGGCGGCCCCCTCCCATCACAAGATATCCTTCTCGGTCTTGGACATCCTGGATCCACAAAAATTCACCCGCGCTGCACTCCCGGCGGCAGTGCGCTTCGCTCCCCAGGAAGCCAAGAAAAGTTTGGCGGAGATCGAAGCAGGGAAGGAAGCCAGTCGTGGAGAGCCTGTCCAAGAGCAGGAGACCTCTGGTAAGAATAAGAAGCGGACGCAACTCAGGTGACACAGAGTTAGGGCTTGGTGAATGGCCCTCAGCTGCATCTTTACAAAGAGGGAGGGCACGCAGGAGCAGGTGCAAAGGGTAGCCCTCTCCTTGGAATAGGATTGAGGTAGAAAAGAGGCTCCCAGCCATCTAGGGCTGAGATTTGTCATGGAAGCCCTTTCCCTGCACGCCAAGCGGGTGGCCACAGCACAGTTCTGACTTGTTATCGCCTTAGCAGTAGAAACCAACACCCCATGCCCACTTGCAGGCACATTTCTTAACAGGCATGTAATGTGCCCACCACTTACTAGAACCTGGGCTTGGAGAGGGGAAAAAAATAATGAAAACTGAAAACCTTGGAAGTAGAGAGCATCATTAACGTCATTCCCATTTTATGGATGAGTGAGCTAAGGTCAAAGTCTACACCCAGGATCTTGGTTGGTGGCCAGGTGACTATTTCCACCTGCTTGGAGACCCCTGCATGACGTTGCTGCCCCTTGGTCTACCCTGCCCAGACCCAAGTTTGGACTGGGGCTAGGGACTGGGCTGAGGTGAAGGGACACTGCTGGCACTTTCTTCTTGAAACCTGTTTTCTTTTTAACTTATCCTTAATGCTTGAGGACAACTAAGGAAGGGGCCAAGAAAGTTTATTGCAGGAAAAAGGATGAAAGACAGCAGAATCTGCCGGGTGGGACATGGGCAGAGACTTGCCTGGAGGGACTTCGAGGGTCAGGATCTTAGGTCCCACGTGAGGGTGGGTGCTGTGCATCCCTCTGCTGCTCCCCAAGTTTGGAGGTGATTGTCTGGGCCCAGCCTTGGTGCCTCTGGAGGCCATGCTTGGGCCCCTACAGCGGGCCTGGTAATTGTTCCGATCTTCTCTCCGAGGGGCCTCCCTCCTCTCTCTTCAGCCCCCATGATCGATATTCTATTACTGGCGCCTGCATATCTCCTGTCCGCAGCTTGCAGGTACCGGCTTCAAACCCCCTTTCCCTGTCTGATCCTAATATTGTTCGATTAAAACTTACCTTTAATAGATGACATCTATCGATCCGGTCCCGCACAAATCTGAAACTCTATTAACAGGGCAGGAGAGGCAAGATGGGAAAGGGGGGAATTTCACTTTAAGTGGTGGTGGTGGTGGGGTTAATAACTTCTTTTTTAATTGCTAGGAGTCTCAGACCAAAATATGCTTCTAGCGACTAGGGAGGCACACCATCACTAAAAGCACTTGATGTCTGGATGTCTTAATGTACAACGACCCCCCCCCCAGGTTGCCCTGTGAGTTCATTATTCTCTCTCTATGCGAGGTACCATTGCTTCATTCAACATACGCTTCTTAAACACCTACTAGGTGGCAGATTTGTAAAGGGGAAGGGGATGCCATATTCCTAACTCCTCCTCTTGGAAGGTTGTGCAGTCCAGCGGTGGGACAGATAAAAAGGGAAGCGGGTTGGAGTGAGAACTATGTTCTCTGCGGAGGACGAAGGGGAGATTGGAGACCTGGGTCTTTCCAGGCTTCTGATCACCAGCCTTTTTCCCCCTAGAAACTGAGGGCCCAGGCGGTGGCCCCTCATCCCCCCTGGAGGGCTCCGAGGCCGAAGACGATGAAGAAGACGCGGAGGACGCGGGGCAAGCGCGAAGGCGGGAGCGAGCTACGCACCTACAGACTGGGCCCGCACGCTCCCCCGACGCGCGGGGGGCCACACTGGGGACCGCCGAGTGCAGCGTGGACGGCGAGGGCGGCCAGGTGGGCGCCCCAGGCTCTCCCGGCTCCCCGCGGCCCCGGCGCCGGCGCTCGGAGCCCAGCTGCGCCAAGCCCCGTCGCGCGCGCACTGCCTTCACCTACGAGCAGCTGGTGGCCTTGGAGAACAAGTTCAGGGCCACCCGCTACCTGTCGGTGTGTGAGCGCCTGAACCTAGCGCTGTCGCTCAGCCTCACCGAGACGCAGGTCAAAATCTGGTTTCAGAACCGCAGGACCAAGTGGAAGAAGCAGAACCCGGGAGCCGACGGGGCGGCGCAGGCGGGGGCGGGGGCGCCACAGCCCGGGACAGCCGGCGCGGCAGCGGGCACCTGCGGCGGCGGCACGGGGGGCAGCCCCGGCCCGCCGGGCCCCGGAGCTCTGCCCTTCCAGACGTTTCCCTCCTACGCCGCGGCCAACGTCCTCCTCCCGGCCGCCGCATCCTTCTCGCTGACGGCCGCCACCGGGAGCCCCTTCGCGCCCTTCCTCGGGCCCTCCTACTTGACCCCCTTCTACACCCCGCACCTGTGAACCTGGGGTGCTCTGGATCCACGAGCGACCCGCTTCGCGTGAGGCCCCTTCCTTCGCGGACGGGCCGGACGCCCCCTTCTGGCGCTCGGATGTCGGCGAGCCCCTTCCCTTCCAGCCTCTGCGAGACGCCGCCAGAGGGCGGACAGCAGCCGCCTGCGCACACGGGCCACACCTCTGCCCGCCACGCAGACCTACTGAGTCCACGCGGGCTGCAAAGCCCACGAGGAAATGTCCGGAGACGGAAGCTGGCCTAAAATCTTGTTTTGCGAACTGGCTTGTCACTTTCGTCACATTCAGTTGAGTTCAAGGACTCTTACAAGGGTCAGGGCACTCCAGGTGGAGCTCCTAAGTGTCAGGATAGAGCCAAGAGCCAATACGGGCCCTGTGCAGCGGCTACTCGCTCCTAGCACGGAAATTTCAAGGATTCTGTTCTACTCAGAGGTGAGGAACTGCCCCTTCTTCTCAGAGCTGTTTTCCCTTTGGTACTTGACTATGGGCTCCAACCCAGCGAGCGGGTCCTCCCAAATCCTGAACAGAGCTGGAGAGAGCTGGGCCTCGGTGCACGTTGTCGCTGTGAAAGACCTTTTTAAATACACTAAATCCAGCATCTCTAGATCTTCATTTAAAATTTGGATATCAGGGGGCTGGGGAGATGGCTTAGTGGAATAAGCTTTTCCCTGGCAAGCTCAAGGGCCTGAGTTCAATCACCTCCCAGTTCTGGGAAAAAAAAAAAAAAATGGATGTGAGCACACTATTGTGGTTTACAGACTGTACAGGTTATCTTGATAGAATGGTACCTTATTTTTCTGAGCAGGCCATAGATCTGTGCTAGGGAGGGTCCCACTCAGCATTGTGGCTAGAGTTATCTGCTAAAAAAGAAACAGCTGTGTTGCACTGCAAGTTTTGAGATCAACTTGGACAAATCGCAGTGATGGCCCCAAAATGCATAACAATGACAAGAAAGTCATGGCCCAGTGACTGCCAGGAAGTCTATGCAGGAGGCTGCTTGTTCTGATGTAGGACTGCATACCAACTTCAGTCCTGGCTAGTCTGTCTGTCCTAGCATGTTCTAAACGCTGGAGGATGAGCTTCGTCAAGACACACTGCCTACAGTCAGGGACTGGACTCTTTACTAAACATGTTTGGGTCTTCGTGTAGAATTGTGACTTAAAAGCAATTCTTGTTCCAAACAGATTCTCTATGATGGTGAACAAGCAAACGTTTATAAAGGGCTGGTAAAGAAACACTGAGCGTGAAGAGCTACTGCTGAGGCCAAAACCTTGTTCATCAAGCTCAACTGAGGGACTCAGTCCTGGCATTATTTGCTGCTTTTACTGTCTTTCCTAAACATTAGTTGTATAAAATCCTTGACAGTTTTCTCTAGAAGGTCCTTCTGTTAGTTTTCTGTGTAATGTGGTCAGAAACACTGATGACTCCAACTCCACGCCATGTATATTTTATTCTTATTTTTATCTGATTATTTCAGGCCAGCTAATATCTATATTTCTTACTATTTTTTGGTAGCCCAGATTGTGATCATTAAACTTAATGAGGGGTTTTCAAAGTAAAAGTAAATTTTGAATAAATTTTGCTATTATACCCTTGAAATACACAGTTCTTTAATTAGGGAGTTATAGAAAATATCTCCTTTCTCCCAACTTAAAGACTTTATAGTCACATGACTCATAAGGCTTGAAAATATGTATTTAATTATGTATTATTTGCTAATTAGACTTTTCTGTCCAAAGAATATTCCCAAACAATGCATTATAACTTTTTAAAAGACAGCTGGTGCCAGAGGAGATTAAAGATGTAATTATTATAATAGAGAATATAATTTTATTCATAATACACCTTGGTTAAAAATGCCAATAACTATTTGTTGATTTCTCAAAAGCAACATTCCATTTGTATATGAGCAGGAAATGTAAGCGCACAGAGGCCAGATCTATGAAGAAAGGGCAAAAGTTCTATAATAAGTGGAAGACATTTCATTCCAGTTCTTTCCAGTATTGGACACCCAGACTTGGGTTCAAGAGAGGGAGTAGAGAGGAAGGGAGGAGCTTTTCTCTGTGTGGACTGTCCTGGTGCTGTAATTCCTGACCCTTCCTCCCTCCACCAATTGTCCTAGGGTGATGCTTGAAATGTGTGATTTTGGACATCTCCTGCTTTGAAAGACCTAGTGGCTTTCTTACGAAAATCTTAGACTCATTCTATTGATGTGTTGGCCTAATAAACTCCTTTTGTAATGATTTCTTGTTTAATCATTCCTTGCTCTCCATTAGCAAATCTTTTAATTTTTTTTATCATTTTAAACAAGAAGTTTATTTAAAAAACAAGACACTTGACTTAAAGGAAAAACTATCTAGGATTCTTCTATTTTAAAGAGTAATTTACTCCTACGTAAAGACAGATTGTCCTACATGTAACAGCTACGTACAAAAAAGTTATAAAATTGTCCTTGGTTTTACAATGATAAATGAAAAACATTAAAATTCTTCAATCAAACAGGGTATGCAAGGAATTTTATGTTGCTGTCTTTTCTGTTAAAACAGTGAGAGCAAAATAGCTTACTGGAATATAAAGGTAAGAGCTGATGAGCATGCCACTAATGGAGAAAGGGGATTATGTTCACAGAACCAGTAATTCCCCATCTCATCTCCATTTGATGTCAATCAAAACATACTGTTGGCCATTTAGTAAAAACAAAACAAAACAAAACAAAAAGCAATATGCTTGTGCACATACACCAGATACTTTATGTACAATGTCAGGATGTGGTGGAACCAACTTGCAGGTTTCTAATTGCGAACGTATTCTTGGTCTGTAAGAACAGAGTTCTGGAGTAGTTGCAGGTTCGCCTTTTAGTAGACGCCTCCTGTCTGCTGCTGGAGCACGTCCATTGTATCCTCATCCTCCATTTCCAACTGTGCAGGTGTGTCGGTGTCATTGACTGGCTGTCCAAATCGGAAGCTGATCTGCCTCATTAACAAACCCTGTCATTCACAATAGGCTTTCATTAGTTTACTAAGTGGTGTGTGCCTCTTAATCTTAAACTGCACCACAGAACCATCCTGCCCCGCCACCTTCAAATTAATGTGCTTGTTGTTCTCAGTCTTGACTCCTTCCTTGGGCTTTTCATCGGCCATAGGACCATTTTCTGTAGCAAAAGTAAATAATCTCCATACAATTTTAATTAGTAGCTATTAATTAAATCAATATCTACCTATCAGATTTCTAGGATGTTAATGCCCTAGCTTTACTTCAGAAATTCTTAATGCTCCAACAAGAACCTGGTGTCCAGATAACTTCAGAATTGAACCATTTACTGGTCATATCTTTCTGAAGTTAGAAGTGACAATTGTTGGGGGTGGGAGTGATGCTGTGGATTGAACCCAGGGCCATTATAGTGCTACAATCTCAGTTTTTTGTTTTTTTTTTTTTAATTTTATTTATTTATTTGTGTGTGTGTGTGTGTGTGTGTGTGTGTGTGTGGCCAGCTCAGCCCACCAGGGGGCGGGGCTGGCTGGCATGTGGTGCTGGGGGATTGAACCATGGTCCATTTGCTTTACTAAGCTTGTTCTAAGTTGGTGCTTTAGACCACTGAGCCATCTCATCAGCCCCCCAATCTCAGTTTTTATTTTTATTTTTTTTTATTTTGAGCTACAGTCTTACTAAATCACTATGCTACCCAAGATGGACTCAAACTTGTGATCCTCCTGTGTCTACTTTTCAGAATGCTGGGATTATCGGTTGTTATGGCTTATCTCTAGATGTCCCCTCAAAGCCTCATATAGTCATGGGCGGGGCTTTTTCAGAAGTGGCTGGATCTAGAGTGTGTGATGCTAAGATGAAAGGTGTTTGATTACTCAGTCCACTGGTTGGTTTGGTAGTGCCCTGATCCTGGTAGCCTAGATAAAACATAAAGGGGCAAGAAAGATGCTGTTAAGGTCCCTTGCTTGCTTTGCTATCTTCTGCCTACCGTGAACTATTTCTCCTCTACAATGCCTGTCTGCCATGCCACCATACCTTGCTTGGAGCCAGCCAATCATGGACTGAAAGCTCTATCAACTGCAAGCTAAATAAACCTTTTCCCATTTAACTTTGGTGTTGGGTATTTTGTCTCAATAATGAGAAAAAAGTAATTAGGATAGAATATGGTATCAGAGAAGTATGGTTATTGTTATGGCTGTACCTGAATATGTAGTTTGGGAACCTTTGGAGCTGGCTTGTGGGAAGAAGAAGAGTTAGGAATGGTTTGGAGGTGGTAGCTAAAAAAACAGAGCTGGAAAACTTGAGGTTCTTCTTCTTTTTTTTTTTTTTT